GTTTATCATTTACTTAAAAGAGAAGTGCAAAGACATCTGTTTTGAATTACCATTTCTCTTGTCCTTTTTTTCCCTTGTCCTTTTATACAACCTATAGTTTCATTTCTATGCCACTTCTATAGGTGATGACATTAAATATCTATATACAAATAGTGTTATATGCTTACATTTTTATGTCTTTAACAGTTTACTCAATTATTTTTTCCTGGTTGCATTATTTGTTGATACTGAATACCGGAATACCTTCCTTCCCTAAGTCTTGAAAGCTCCAGGTGAATCTCAGAACTTTCGGGATGCTATCTTCAACTTATGACTACCTAGTGGTAGTTGTATTCCTGAAGGCCTTTTGCTCTTATAGTCATCATTCCAAATACACTTGGTGTTTCATTTATGTATTTTATGTAAACTGTTATTCTCCTCGTGGAGGGTGAAGATATCATCCTGAAAGTTCTGAGATTCACCTGGGAGCTTTCAAGACTGAGGGAAGGAAGGCATTCTGGTATTCAGCATTAACAAATAATGTAACCAGGAAAAAAATAATTTAGTAAACTGTTAAAAGAGATAAAAGTGTAAGCATATAACACTCTATTTGTATATAGATATTTAATATCATCTCCTTTAGAAATGGTATAGAAATGAAAGTATAGGGTGTAAAAAAGGGCACAGGAAAAGATCATGCTCACCTATGCCATGTCTTTTTGAGTAGAATATTTGTTTTTGTTTCAGAAAATGTGCCATCTTCCCTTGGATAGATTTTTGAAAGCCTAGTTTCCCATACTTGGGTCCTTTCCTAAATAGTCTTATTTGACTTAGCATTGTATCACTAATGTCAATTTCATAAAATCCAGCCCAGAATTGTCATCATTTTTATTACCTGCCTGATCATTTCTATTCTTTCCCATACACTTCACCTGTTTGAATGCACATCTCATATTAGTTGTCCTCACCAAGCAAGTTTTCTAGACTCCTGGCTGCAATTTTCCTTCCTTGGATGCTTCCTGCTATCTATATTTTACCTTCTTATGATCTGTTAGTATTCTATCCAATAGTGTGGGTATTTAAGTGTATGCCTCATCTTTGTTGCATTACTTGACATAATATGTATGGTCATTATATAAGAAAAAAGCTCTCCCCATTATTTAAGTGACAAAACAAATAATAAAGAGCATCGGCCCTGATGCCGGCCAGCCATAAGTGGTAGAGGAATGATTCAAATCTAGGTCTTCTTTCCTCCATATCACGGAGAAGGATGACATATCTGTTAGTGTTTGGAGCTGGAATATTCTCCAAAGTCAAATATGTTCAAGATTTGATCACCAGCCTGTGGCATTACTGGGAGATGGTGGAATCTTTAAAAGGTGGGGCCTAGTGGAGGGAAGTTAGATCACTGGGATGTGTCCTTGAGAGAGCTCTTGGGAACCTTGCACCTTCCTGTCTGTCTTTGGTTCCTATCTGTCATGATGTGTGCTACTGCTGTGATGGGCTGCTCTGCAGGCCCAGAAGCAGTAGAGCAAATAGGTCATGGATTAAAATCTCTGAAATTATGAGCCAAAATTAATCTTTCTTCCTTATAAGTTGTTTATCTCAGGTATTTTTTTTTTCCTAGACACTGAAAGTTAGCACAGTCTCTCATCACAGAGGCAGTGCCACTTGGGAGTCAGACAATCCTAGTGACTGATGGATTGTTCGAGTTGCTTTGACAATGATGTTTCTGCTTTTAAAAGTAATATTACAAAGATAAAAATATCCCTGTAGTTACCACTGGATACTTGTGGGAACTTAGCTTCCCGGTTGAGTAAATCAAACATGTTGAAATAGGATTCTCAGGTCTCATTTTTTGTTTTTTTTTTTAAATTGAAATGCCATACAATTACTAGCATTTTGAAACTGTCCCTAGGGGAATATTTACATAGGTATTGTGGAAAAGAAGCCTTGTAACTTAGAGAACCCACATGTTGGGGACTACTTAGAACTAATTTTTTAAGGATTTGTTGTTTTACATTGGAAAAGTACCCCTCAATGATGTCTCCTAAGTGTTACTTTTTATTTAATCTTATCCTAAATATTCAAAGCTCTGTCAACTGCAGTTATTACAATGTACCACTGTAACTTTAAAAAGGGCACACATATGAGTAGTATGTGTAAGTAAAATGCTACCTAAGTATTGTGTGTTGGTCTCAACATCATTGTGGCATTAATGGATTTAGAAGTGTTGCTTTAGTTGTTAAATCTTTAACCAATATATCTAATGGAAAATACACAAATAGAAATATATTAGGAGATGTAGGTGAAGGAAAGGTCTGTTTGTCTTCCGAAGGGAAACACTGGAGTATTTTTAAAAGACAATGGTAGGAATTCATTTCGTAGAGGAAATTGAATACTAAAGAGGGAAAAGAGGTAGTCAATAGTGCATGAGGTTCCTGAGAAGGTGGATGAGCAGAAGTATTTAA